ACGGCCGCATTTAGGCAGAGTGGAAACTGTTACTCTGTTTACCTGCAAGCTCCGCCGCGGCTCTGTCAAGACGTCATTACGCCCACGAAGCGCATTGGAGCGGACCCGTGCTCTCGGTTCGCCGTGTCAGCACACGTCGTTAAAGTGCTCCGATGTGCTTAACGGGATCGTGTTGTTCGGCCAGGATGTCCGACGTGCCGCTTCTGGTGCTCCCAGCACGCGGAAGCGAAACGTCGGACATTGTGACAAACAGCACGCGACACGAACGCAAAAGCCTACCCCGGTGGTGCTCATTTTAGTGCGTTAATCGGAAACATAGAAACGATGACACGCGGCCACAACACACAACGAAGACACAACACACTCGTGGGACATGCACGGTGTGGGCCACCGGCACGGCACGCTGTCTCCCCCCCCCCCCCCCCACCGTGTGTTCCGATCTCGCTCGGTAATTAACGGCGAGAGAAAGCGGCCCCCAGCGGGAGGCACCCGGAGACCCGGCCGCCCCGCCAAACGCGCACGCGCGACTCCATCTCTCCTCCCCGCTGGGATACGGGGACACGTTTTATTTTCAGCCTGGGCAGAGTGTATTGTACGTGTGCGCGGTGGGGGAGATGTTAACTCCCTCCTCTGGTGTTCAGGAGATCGTGGGTCCCATCCCGATCCTGACACCTGTGTGTCTGGGGTTTGCTTATCTCTCTCACTTTCCCCGTGGTCGAGTGGCTTTTTCTCCGGGTCCTCTGGTTTTCCCTCCACTTTTAAAGTCAATGTGCGTTTAGAGTATTTGTCTGATATACATGTCCACGTTGTTAAGCTCCCGTTTTTGGTCAGGTAGCTTTTGAAAAAGAGATATATAGCTCGGTGGGCTTCATCTAATAAAATAAAAAATAGTTCATAGTTTTGGTTTGGGATGCGATGTCTGAATCCCGCCCAGATCAGCTGGCTGGCCGTTCGTTTCTGTGCTGCATTTCACATTGACGGGTAGATCGACAAATGAATAAATGCAACAATTCAAGTTATTCCCATTCCACCAATGGGGTGGAAGTCTCCACACGCCAAGTCTGCCATTGGGGTTTGTTATCACCATACATCACCAAGCAGCTTTGTGCGGCTTCGTGCAGCTGGGTTGGGGAGGGCAGCGCAGGTTCTGATATCATTCGCCACTGATGTTAGCCGTGGTTGGGAATCAAATTGAAGTCGACGGGTTCATGGTGCGGCACCCTAACCACTCTGCTGCCATTCCCCCTCCCTAGCAAATGAATGAATGAGTGAATTGCCATGGTTTGGGATTGTGATATGATTCAATTGTCAGTTATTTTTGTTTGTCTCGTTTGTGCTGTCCAATGTGTGTTGTTTCTCACTTGCTACATCTCGTTTCGTTCACTGCACCGGCCTACAATTAACACAACCGTGTGATTTACATACATTCTAAGTAAATTATGTCACATGCACAATCTATCTTTGCCCTGTGAAGATCACGATCAATTAAAATGTATAGCCTAACATACTGCCGGCCAAGTGCTGTTAGCGAGCAACTCTTGAGTCGACCTAGGGGAGGCTCAGGACCAGTTCAGATAATCGTCACTGGTGTTGGCATGAGTGGGAATTGAACATGGGTAGGCAGGTTTGTAGCGCAGCGTGGTAATAAACAATGCACTGTCGCACCCCACAACACTTCTATGTACGCACACACAGACCTCCCTGCAGAACACATTTATTCACAATGTGCAGAAAATGGGGGCTATGCTCAACTGCAACGATAATACCTTACAAATAATCTCTGATGACTCGGTTAGTGGTAGGAGATCGCTGGAGAACGAGCTACATGGGGAGAGTTGAAGAGAGATGTCGAGAGAGGGAGAGAAACGGTTGGGTTTGACGCACATGTGTTAGCGCAGGGGCTGCTGCTGCTGCTGTGCCTGTGGGCCCGACAGGACTGAACTGGTGCCCGTGGCGGGGAGGGGTGTTCAGATTTCGTCACGGGGATCGCCGAGTTGGGAATCAACTGAATGGGGGGGGGGAGCGGTGCAGCTGCCGTCGCGGCCCGGCGTGATTGATGCAGGGGGGAGATATTGGCCGTGGCGGGCGGTGGGGGGGATTGTACGGGATGATGCGGTCGAGGGGTAAGGAGGGTTTTTATTTGTGACCCTGCACGGATGAGGTGTTGCGATCGGTCACGGCACCGAGTGTGGAAGTGGACCCCCCCCCCCCCGGGGGCGGCTGTGTTTGGAAATCAAGCTGGGGGAAGGTCAGGCAGAGGGCAGGGCTCGCGGGGGCGTTGTGTGTGCTATGGGCTCACCTCGCCGGTGGCATGTAAGGACCTGCTCAAGCATGAAATACTACGGAGCCAATCTCTGTTATGTTTTGTCTATTCCTCCCTGCTTTCTTACCTTCTTTTTTCATTCGCACCGTCAAATCAGTTTCTGCTGAAGGGCAGCGGAAGAGACAAATAATGTACGGCCGCAGTCCGTCCTCAATATCCTTTACATCAAGCCATGCCTTTTAGATCCTGTATACCAGGCGAGGTAGTTAACATCTCGCCACCCTGGTGACAATATCCTATATCACGCCATACCTGCTCAGAACCATTGGTGCCTCGAGAAGCGTGGCTTGCTTCTTTGTTTGTGGAATATCAACAAAATAAGAACATATTCTTGGTTCTTTCGGTAAAGTCTACGTGACTTTACCGAAAGAACCAAGAATATGAATCCCTGCAGTCACGAAAGCTTTAAATAAAAAAATAAGAACAATTTACTTTGTCCTGGCGTTGTGAAGTGGGCCGTACGCTCGCAGCACCTTCATAAACAGCTGCCGCGGATTGAAATGTTTACTTTGTTCAACATATCAATTGTGTTTTCTGCAATTTGACTTTTGCAAAGTAAAATGTTGGAGGGTAGTAAAAGTGCTGTACCGTCGCATGGCCTTAAATTGGCAGCTCACGTGTTGAGATTTGAAGGCAGTTTTTTGCGAGTGGTTGCAATTGATTTGAAGTTAGGGTTCTGACTAAAGTAGGATCTTGGGAAACTGCAATGATCATGGTGGTTGATGATGAACTATTGAGAATCGTCCTAAAGGTAATGTTCAATAAATCGACCGTCGCGCAATTCATATGCAGCACAATAACACGCAAGCACAAAACAACGTAATAAATGAGTTCGTGTTTCAACGTAAATATCTAATGAAAAACACACGGATACAAAGAAACCTCTTTCTTAGAACTAAGTTAGCATTGCAGTGTATTGCCATACAAGGATATCAGCCGCAATTCATGGTTAGATTAAAATAATCATCCGTCACAACGCCTCTAATTTAATTCAGAGTTTAGAGATAATGCAATACAGTTTCTTAGAAATCTCAACCAATGAATTTAAAATACCACGACAAATTAATTTTCACGTTCGCAGCAATTTGTTTTGGGCAAATAATTTTCCTCTGCTTGTCCGCATGAACGTTAAAAGTGACTGTGTATATTTATTATTATTAATAGCATTTTGTGGGTTTATTAAATTTATTTTGGGCAGTGATCAGGCCCCATTGGGATTTGTGATGAAGGTGTCGAAAAAGCAATTTGGTTGGGGCGACAGATGTGAAGCTAAAATAATCATTCTTGCGGTGAATTGGATGATGCCGGCCGTTGGCAGACCGGTGGCAATTTTTCTAAAGCCTCTTGACGGCTGCAGTCAGTGTGGGCGGCTTCGGAGTGGCGGCGCAGTGGTTAGCGCACTCGGCTGCGAACCCGTCCGCTCCAGTTCGATTCCCGGCTCGCGTCCGCCAAGATCGTCGACAATTATCTGAACCGGTCCTGGGCCTCCCCGAGGTCGACTCGGCCTCAAATTGAGTACCCCGTGCGGTGTGTGAACACCGTCGCTAGCCAGGCAAAGGTGGCCGGGCGTGATGCTGGCCACCCACTCCCCTCTCGTGTGCCCTGGTGGCCTTCACGGGTGCTACTCGCGAACAGCACTTGCCACAAAAAAGAGTCTGATTTTTGCTATACGGGAGATCTTTGTCTTTGAGTGCTTAAAAACATGAGAGGAGAATGGACAATTTCTATCTTTAAGTTTTTTTAAAGGAAGATAAAAATTGCCCCTGCCCTCAAAAAAACACAACTATTTATTATTTAGAAAATTGGAACCACACTGGCCCAGCACAAGTTACACAACTTTGTTGATGAGGGAGAATAATTTAAACTTTGTGGGGGTCCCTCATGCCACCGTGAAGTCAGAGAGAGGTGTGATTGCTAAAAAAAAATATTAAATTAATTGTTTCGTAAACCAAACATTTCGTCTCGTTTTATTCTGATGGTGCGATCGGCATCGCGTCGTCACGAGAAGAAGAATTCATTCGGATCGATCGCAGGGCGGTGCGACCCGTCGTGTTTCGATATCCTTCAACTACTTTTGAGATCCCTTCAAGTGTGGTCACGCATAGCAGGGGACAAACGCTTGCCAATGTTTCCCTGCCAGCCAGAGTACTATTTGGCACGTGACGAGTCACACTGATATTTCAATTCTGACAGCTGATCAAGAACAAAGACCCGACGAAAAAAAATAGAAGCAACAAAAATGTGTTTTTTTTAGGAAGCATATTAAAAATGTAATGGAGAGACACTGGGTACAAACATTACATTTACGAGAATAATTAGATAAAGGGCAGGATTAGATATATTGGACATGTAATGTGAAAGCAAGAGACCAAATATATAAAAAAGCTGATGATGCAACTGGGAGCTTCAAATACCAAGTTCTTGAGCAGCATCATGAAGAGAGCGTTAAAGGAAAAAGGCCACGATCGCCAACGTCTTTGAGAAAGCAAGGGGGCACGTAGAGAGAGCTAGCAATCTGAAATGTATCCAGATGAACTTTGCAGGGCCAGTGCATCACCATTATTCATTGGTGGGCGTGTTTCCGTTGGTAACACTCTCCCTGTGCGATGCTACGTGTGTGTGTGTGCGCATGCGTGTGTCTGTGTGCGCGCGTGCGTTTCTGTGTCTGTGCAATCAGGCAGCAAGCGCGTGACCAACAAGGCCACGCTGTGGTACGTCCCCCTCTCCATCAAGAGCCCGGACAAAGTGCTTCCCGTCCCGCCCATCGAGGTAACGGGACACGCCGATTGCGGGCGCGCAGGGACGAGCTGCGAACCAAGATGGAGGAGAATAAAAATGAACAAACGAGTCTCGTCGTGGCAGAGCTACAGTTCGACATCTGTCAAGCGGCGGGCTGTCCCGTCCGTCAGTTGATTGATTGGTTGGTCGCGTGTGGTGGGATAAAGTGTGGGTATTCGCACCTCTTCTAAGACGTCTGGCCATCATGGGAGGGTAGGCCAATATTCCCTCTGTAGAGGGGTTCTCCAGAGCTCCCTCTAGTGGAGGCCCTGCCGCTAGCAGTGGCGCGAGCGAGCAGTTGCAGCGCTGCGCCTTTACCCTTCCCCGAATGTTTTCTGGGGCCTGGTGGGATGCTGCGTACGCCACGGTGCAAGAAGCTTGGATATTAAATTAGATCAGTGATGATTTAGTGACCCTGAATATCTCTGTGTTTTCAGTCTGATAAATTAATAACATTTACATATGACCTTTGTTCATGACCGCTTAAGATGCCTTTGAGGCCCTAGGTCGTTTATTGCAAGGGACACCAGGATTGTACGTGACCCATCATGCAGACGCTTCTAAAATAAGACGTCGTCGCATGTGGTCCGTGGTGGCCAGGAGGTCCTGGTTTGGAGAATCAGGGCAGCCACCTCTAATTAATCCACTTTCTCAATGATATAGTGAGTGCATGGTCTCAGTGCAGTCATTAGTCACTGCACACACAAATTACTAGTTTGTTAATTTTATTTTCTGCACCCCAGATTGGCCTAATTCCAGCTCTCAGGAATGATGTCCATTTGGTTTGCTGTCAAGCGACATCCTCATCGCAGTGTGTGTGTGTGGGAGAGGGTGCCGCAAAGAGTATGCAGGATGCAAAGGCCACTTGTGGGATTTTGCAAGAGAAGTTCTACGGAAAAAAAATTTCTCGTGCGAGGGGCGCACGCACTGCTCTGTGAGATTTCAAAATAGATTATTCATCTCACGACGCGGTGCCAGTAGCACGATTGGCCTGAAGTGTAACAAAAATACAGGAAAGTGTGTTCGCCCAGGGAGAATCCTCATTGAATATCGAGGCTGTTTTCCCACGCGAGTCCTGCTAAGCTCTGCGCGTGAAAGCGGGCAGTGCCGCTTTGCACTTCCCCAATCGCCGTAATTTGCGGGTGACCTATCAAACTTTGCATCTTTTGGGAATATATCAGGGAAAAATCCAAGCAAAGTGACACAAATCTCCGCGCTGTGGCCGAGTTGTCTGCTGGGCTTGGCGAGTCTTCTCGCCACCTTAGTGCCAGTGTCCACGTTGCCAGGCTCGGCTCAACGTGTGCGGTGTTTTCGGACGTCATCCAACGGTCGCTGTTTATTGCTGTCGTTGTCGTCGGCAGTACGGATGCGATGAGGAGCGCGATGATGGCCAGACGAGATACGACGCCCAGAAGAGCGCGAGAGTGGAGCTCATGGCGAAACCGGCGTTCTCCCTCACCCCTATCATCAGTCCCGGTAAAGTGCATCGTGGGAGCAGTTGCATAGCACAGTGGCGGCACGAAATCCCTTTTTGCATACACAGATTGGGGACGTTTTGTCTCAATTCGTTGATGCGTAGGGCCCCTTGTCGATCCACTGCTGGATAAGGGCCCTACCCATGACCGTGGCACGTTGGTGTAGAAAGGGTTCTGATGTCACCCACCTCCGATGTCAGCCATGGGCCGGGAATCGAATTCCATCATCAGTCCACCCAGATTAATAACACAGATTAATTATTAATCACGAATGATAACGGTAAATACAACTAACTGCTGAGCATTGAGCAATATGTAATGTTCCGGAAAATATTTAGTTTTTTTAAATAAATCATCTAATTTTAAAACGTTGTCAAGCAAATTGAAAGTAATTGTTGGGTTTTAGTGCCACGGACCTTTCGAGTGTGTTGAGATAGAATCGTAATGTTTCTTCCCCTGTAATCTCAAGTCGCTCATTTTGAAATTGAAACAATTTGTCAACTCTAAATGTGTAATCCCTTGTTATTCAATTAAATGTTTTTTTTTTCTGTGTTGAACCAAAATAATGTCATTGTTTTTGTTTTTCATGATATAGGGAGAGAAGCAGCAGCACCTTTTACGTCAATGGCTTCACCCTAGAATGCATTTGTCTGCACAGTCCTTTTCAAATGGGGCTTGCCAATTTATTAAAATGAGGCACTTACAGATAGCAGGCTTAATCTGCGTACGCAATAGGGCCCTTTGTCACGTCGCATGGCCATTATTCTTGTTGCCTTAATTGCCGGTGTAAAAATACATCTGTAAAATATCTGTTGTGATGTGAATGTCCATCACGCGGTTTCACAGAGTCCCTCCGTTGTTGTCATGACACCACCACCCTCACCCCCACATCGTCTTCTCATTAATCATCATCTGCATCTTGATAATTTCTCACTTCCCAACAGCGGCGGCACGCTTCCTGTTTATCATCGTAATCGTGCTCATTCATCACTGTGCCGTCCTCATTCGTCACTGCCAGCGTTATCTCCGCCATCGTCGCCGACAATGTTGCCGTGTCCTTCAGCACCTTGGCAGCTGTCGCCCCCCCACTTAACTTAACAGAAAAACGTAACGTTTCAAAATAACGCACCACCCCTCCAGACGTTGGCGCAATGAAGGCGAGGTGGGGGGGACGAAGGGACCGATATTTCACCGGTGGCGACACACACGATGAGCCCAACAAAAATAGTTCTCCTTTCACGTCTGCCAAATGTGCCCGCTCACATCCTATTAGCGAGCACCTGGCCGCTATAGTTGCTGCAAGGCGCCCGGGCACCGGTGTTTGGCGTGGCCACCTGTGTCTCCTCCCCCCGGGGAGTTGCGTCATTGAGGTTTTGGCAGTGATTGGCACGTGGACCCAAAGCCCTGCGTCGAACAGAATGGCGGAGCGCTTGGTGGTTGCACGGCAAGCAGAATAAAATAAAAACCTTGGCGTAGCACGTCGTGTTATTGCGACCGTCTCCCACAAGGCGTGCTGCGCGAGCCAAACAGCACGGCATTCAGACGGCGCTTCTCAAAGTGTGCTCTGGGCGCCTCTTCGGGTCACGCCGCACGTTGCACGGGACGGTGACCGACGTTTCGCTGCACGTGCTTGGGAGCTTCTTCAGGAACTAATTTTCAGTCACAGCGATGAAGTGTCCGTTTGTCCACCTCTCTTGCCGAGGGAGAAAATGCCCGTGAATTACCACGGTTGTCAGACATACGCGGACAAACAGACTTTTCATCCACGCTTGGGGGCGGTGGTTGTGGTGCATTTAGTTTGGTGTTTGTGTCAAACACACTCTTATTCCGTAAGCAAGCCGTATTCTAAAAGCCAAAGTGACACTCAATAATGTATTTATCGGTTGATTTAGAAACATATTTGGCTCTTGATATTGCCTAATGTTTGTAGTTGTCCTTGACATTCACCTGGATTTCATGGGTGATTTAAGGGCACTATAATTGTCAGCTGGTTAAGTGCATTTGTTTGGTTTGCTTACGAGGAAAGCTTAGCCTTTTTGTAGGACGGTTCTACCAAGTTGTCACAGTTAGGGGCTGATGTTGTGTAATCCCAAATAAATTTTTTTTCCAGTTAATTTTTCGGCGTTGGGATGTTTGGGCAAGTACCAGTTACGTTCTCCGTGTTTTTTCTTTTTTGCTACAAAAGGAAATGGGAGAACCCACATGAAACCCACGGAGAATAAGGGGGGAACATACAAACGCCATGCACATAGACACCTGAGTTGGGAATCGAACCCCCAGGAACCTTTCTGTGAGGCACGAGCGCTACCACTGCGCCGTCCTCTGCCGCCCTGGCTAGGAATGTATCGGCTCGGTGTGCTGCGTCGGGTCGTGGTTGGGATGGTTTATCTGATTCACACCGACTGCGCGAGGGGTCTTCAATGTTATCTTCCATCGCGGCCGCTCCGTGTTTCGACCTGGCGCTCTGCTGTTGGGTAGGAGTTCCCGAACGATTTTCCTTCACCCCCGTTGGCCTGTCTCTTTATAAGCGCGGCCACGACACCATTGGCAATTTAAATTCAAAAGGGACCGGAGCCGGAGTTTTCACGCTGTGGGAGAAAACGCCGTTGTTGGTCGGTGTCGGCGTCATCTTAAAAACAAAAAATCCACGTCATCGATAAACCCGCGCGCTCTTGCGGTAACCGTGCCCCTGCTATGTTTGTCCCAAACGGCGGCAGCCCGCGTGCACTTGAGCCCTTTTATCGCGCAGGCGTCGATCGCGGCGTTTATCGCTAAAGTGCCGCTGAAGAGCCAACGATGTCTCTCGCGAGGGGGGGGGTAGGGTGAGGGGGGGGGGCTTGTTTAAGCCTCGCCGGTGTAATCCTGAGCCTTCGCCTGTCCTCCGCACCGTGCGTCTGCATCTATTTGAGATGACACACGCCACACCGCCAGTGGGGTGCGGCTGTCGTGAAATGCGTTGAAATTAAAGCGAGATGAGATGATAATAATAGCAATGATGGTCCGTCAAAAATAACCATCATCGCCGTTAACGGTCATTAACGTCATCATTTTCAGTCGTTGTTGCCCATTGGTCGTCATTAAAATAAAATAAAATTATGCTTTTCCAGACGATGTTTCAGCGCTGAGTCATAAATGGAAATGCTGTACATTTGCTCCGTGTATATTCCACTTGCATTTCCACAAAGATCATAAAATCCTGCCTGTGTTTGTGATTAAATGTGTGCTTTGTCGCCTATGTTCCAGATTTAAGTTGTGTGCTTCACCTGTGTTGAACCACTGACTGCAAAGCAAAAACGAACATGTTCTAACGTTCACACGCATTGATTACAAAACCTTTCTCTCTCACTGCGGCCTTGGGTCTACAGAGTGGCGGAGCAAGGGTAAGCAACGGCGTGCGGTCGCGATACGGTGGAACCAGGTTTAACGCCAGCACTCCCTGTATATTTTAAATAATAAATAAACCTTCCGTCCAGTGATCCAGAGTCAACTCTGACACGACTGCGCCCTGGATTGGTCGCCTTGCAAGTGGTTACGGTCGGAAACGCCGTTCAGCGATTGTGCACTGCCGCCAGCTCCTGATTGGACGTCATGTGGCTGCCTTGCTTGAGCATCCGATTACTTGGTTGTTGTTGTTGTTGTTTTCTCACTCAGGATTGGTTGACACGTTTGGAGCGTATACGCACGAAGTGTTTTTGAGGTGTTGGCGCTCATTTCGCCAAGAAAAAAGCTATGTGGTTAAATGTCAATTTCCCCTTCTGAAGAGAGCACGGCACTTTGGATTTACAATCACACTTTTTGCTCTTGTTTAGTGTCAAAATTCCTTGCGTTTTCGATGCATTCAGATGCTACGTTCTAACAGCGCACCAACCGGGTTCCACCGTATTTGGCAATACATTTTATTTCCCCTTCCATGCTAAAAATAACAACGAACGTGTTCCGCCGCAGCCATTGTGTACATCGCGCGTTTTAGTAATCCCATCAGGCTTGGCAACCAGAAATAATGAGATGTGTTTTCCATGCAATTATTCTGTCTGCCCGTCTCTCTCTCGCTCCTCTCTCTCTCCGCCTCGCTTCTGTCTCTCTCTTTCTGCCGCTCGTTACAACGCGAGGCGTCGCGAGCTGCGAGCGAGCGAACGTGCGCGCACCGATCCTGCATGCTCCGGATGAGAGGCGTCGTTTTGTGCGTGGGTGACACACAACGGTTTCGGGAGGCCCAGACGGAGAGAGAGCGAGAGAGCGAGAGAAAGTCACGCCCACGAAATTAGGCAGGAGACCTTTACCGCAGGATTAATGTCCCTTAGTAGCAGCGGAGAAGGCGGAGCGCTGAGAGCAGGGGTCACATGAAGGGAGGGAGAAAGGAGGTTGAGGCTTGGGATAGAGCGGGGTGGAGAGGGGGGGTGGAGAGGGGGGCGGGAGCTCGTTCCCCCTCCACCCCGACCCCAAGGGTCGTCGTAGGCTGGAGGGGACACGAGCCAGCCGTGCGTGAAGTCGCCTGGGGGGCGGGGGTTGCGATGCCACCGAGATGGTGCAGCGAGTGGGTGGGTGGGGGAGAGGCGGTGGGGAGGGGAGCGAGTGGGAGGGTGGAGGGGTGTGAGGCTTGCCGGTGCGTCACCAACAACGCGTGAACGAATTGGCAATTCAGTTTGTCTTTAGCGATGAGGAGGTGGGGGGGCGAAGGGGTGGGGGGAGAACGAGGCGCTCGCCGCGTGGCCTTGGAACGGTGCGACGGAGGGACGTGGCGATCGTCGCTCACGACGGAGGGGGGAGGCTGCCCGGGTTGAGGCTCAGCGGCCCCTGCGGTGCCGATTGTTCTCGGTTGGCACCTCGGCCGCCCGCGGCTTCGCTTGCGCCGCTTTTCGTGGAGAGGATGGGGGGGGCGGAGGCCGCGGGGGGGCCGTGCCCGGACGGCCGTCTCCCCGCGCGCCGTGTGACCCCGGGCGCATGCTTCCGGGTGTCGGCTCGGTACGCCTCCGATTAACACGCTTGGCTACATACGGTGCGAAAGAAGTTCAGCGCACAGCATACGTACAGCGCAGAGACAAATGACACAGCCCACACCGCCCTGCACGTGCGCCCCCATCGCCGAAGCTAAGCGGAGGCTGATCCTGGCTCTGCCTCGTATCGAAGGTTGCATGGGAATACCGGGTGTTGTAGGGCTTGGGGCAGAGGTAGCCAGAGAAGATCAGTGCAAGAACACGTTGCAGGGCTGCCCCCTTTATCTGTTATCAAATAAATAAATATATCCACACACGTGTCCAGCGTTGACTGTTGTGGGGTGAGCGGCGGTGCAGCAAATTGCGGCGACCCAAAACGGCGCGCGGTAGAAACGTGACCTCGAAATTCAGAGCCGAATTTCATCCTTGGCGGTTGGCACGCCTGTTTCGGCCCACGCGCGGACGATGCGTGAATCTCGCGGTAACGCTCACCGCAGGTGATGACAGCGATTCGACCAAAACGTCGACTGAAAGAGTCCCACGACGTACAGCAGCAGGGATGTAACGTCTCACTGCCACCCCCCGATTCATCATCAACGATTAATTGATGAAGAATAAACTATTCTTGGCCACGTTTTGGTGAAAGTAGCAGCCACTAGTGGCGTAAAACCCACTCGATGCCAAAAGAAAATAGCCTCCATTCGCTCCATATGTGATTAGTTGCTTGTATTAAGCTTAAGAAGCAACATCAATCGGTGCATCATTTCACGTGGACGTGCACAGCCCTGCTTGTCACTCCACTGCTGGCTGAGGGCCTCCCAACGCACGTCGTTCTGGCCACAGCCGTTATTTGACCATACTTCACCGCGCTGCTCCATGTGCGTTGGTGAAGATGGGAGAGAGGGGTGTACGGAAGTACAGTACAACAAAGTATTTTGCTGCACCGCCCGCAAAGTAGCCCCCACACGTGATATGAGTCACAAAATCTAAAGGTGCAGTCCTGCCATTGCTGGTGGAAGGGTCTCCTCCAGGGAGGGCTCTCAGAGAGGAGGCTAATGTTGGTCTTCTCTTTCACACGTGCCAGACATCTCAGACGAGTTGGGAGTTCCCGCACTTGACCCCACCACAGGTGGCACCGACCGATCGTCTCACTGTGGTGTGCCCATTCACGCTGCTGGGTGGACAGAGGCGGTTGGGACATTTCAGAAACTTTTCCCATTCTTTTAACTGCCATGCTGGGAGATCGACCCACAAGCTGTGGATTGCAAGTCCAGTGTGCCAGCAAGCCCCAATGCACATCATCGTGTGTTCATTTTGAGCGTGGTTTGTGTACGTTTTAATTGGCGGTGTCTCTGTGTGTACCCGCGTTGTTGTCTTTAGCGGAGACGCACACCGTGGGCTACAGCCAGTCCAGCCTGATCCATCTCGTGGGGCCTTCGGACTGTGCCATTCACGGCTACGTGCAGGGGGGTGAGTGTCTCGTCCGCACGCACACGCACGCACGTGCCCATTATCCGCTCGGGGCCACGCGCCGTGACGCGAAGCTAATCGCTCAGCGTCTTCGTGTTGTCCTGGGGTAAAATAGAGGAGCTTTCCCCGTGCGTTCAGGGGGTGTACGGAACGATGTCCGACTTTTTGCTCCAATGTGCTGGAGCTTCTTCGGCAACTGAACCAAGCAGCTCACCTTCTACCTTGGGCATAATGGGGTGAATGGGTGGGTGGGTTAGAGCTCGGTGCACCCCAGGACCACACCGTTTCTGATGCTACTCGCCACTGATGTTAGCTGTGACTGGCAGTCGAACTTACCTCATCAGGTTCATAGAGCAAGGCACCAATCACTGTCCCACCCCCCCCAACACTGTGTGGGGAATGAATCATTTCCACCAATGACTCAATGCTTGTGTTGAGAGGGAGACACGTGGCCTTTTGACCCCCCACTTAAAATCTCTGACCTGACCAAGTAGTGTCTTCCTCGAGTTAATTCTCAGAAGATGCAAATTGCGTTGGCTTGACATCCCCGTAAATGCCGTGCCTTTTGTCCACGAGCACGAGGCGTTCAGAAGTCATCAGCATTACGTTGCATCAGGTAATATACCTCTGGGGAAGTGGACGCACGCGTGGCGTGGATGCACACGTGGAGTGGACGCACGCAGCAGACGCGCGCACGCCGTGCCACCTTGAGCTGGAACAACCCCTCCCTGTACTCGTAACGAGGTCGCTCATCATCACGACAATTTGATTTGTTCGGCTTGTCGGTTGGTGGAGGGATTCGTGACATAAATTTGATCATTATGCAGCGGCCTCACTCGAAAAAAATCTATATTATGAATCGTAAATCACAAATGTTGACCGTCATTACAGGAATAATTTGTTTCCGCTCACAGTCCGGGTTTAAATATTTTGTTAGGAATAAAAATCCATTCGGCTCGTGAAGGACACTGCAGAGTATATTGTGTTGTTTTCTTTATTCAATTAGAATTTCATCTCGTTGCTGGCCTTTGGCGAGACCTTTAGGAGTCCTCTCCCAAAGGCCTCAACGATAAAACACGTCTCGCCTCGCATGATCGTATTGACGAAAACTATTTCCGGGAACACTTCATTTGGGTGAATTTTGTTTTGTGAACATGTTTTATTTACCGGCCCATGCTTGTTGAGTCGAGACGCATTGCGAATATCAACTGCACGTTGGCCCAGAAACCTACAAGCGTATCACCTGCAAGCTAAGCAGATTTGAGCCTGGATAGTGCTCGGACCTGCGATCGTAATGGACAATGCATTGTTTCACGCTCGGCGGCTAAGTGGTTGGTGCCACGTAAGGTCCAGCAAAACACGTTACTGTACTGGACTTCTATGCTCCCACGTCTATTCTCGCCAGCCTTCCCCATCCCGCACAGACCAGCGTGGTGAAACATTGTCAAACAGCAACCCTCATTGATGTATGTAAGTTGAACTTCTTTCGCACCATACGTAGCCAACCGTGGTAATCGGAGGAGCGGATTATGACCAACACGGCATGGGGAATCCCTCGTGCAGGAGCGGACTGACAAATGCCTGTGCATGCACGTGTTGAGTTGCACGTGCCGACACTCGATCGTTCTTCATCCAGGCGTGAATATCCCCGCGTTGGTATTTCTATCTGAGCGCCGGTGTGCAATGGTGATGACGCTAATGGTGATCGCTTATTTGCTCAGCAAACTCGTCAAGTGTGGACAATATAATTGTGCATTGGCCTTGTGGATTACGAGCATGAAATAATGAAGAGACTGGGAAGGAGCTGTTTAACTAGCCCAAGCGACCTACGGGCCCTCCGGAGCAGCTTCCATTTGAAGCAGCTTTTGTTTCAGCGACAAACTCCGGAACAATTTCGACTTCCGTGAGTCCCATCGGCAGGGTGCGGCCTGTTCAGCAAATGCAGCCGGGTTGCCTGATGTTATCGGTGAAAGCTGTGCCCAAAACTTTGTGGGCGCCATTGAGCACGGTTCAGAAAATGTTGTTCTAAACGGTCGTTTAATTCTCTGCTCAATCGTGAGCAAGGACATGACCCACCAACCCCTTGGGAGCAAGGCCAGCTGTGCCCAAATCCTAATTCCTGTGCTTGTATGAGACGTTGCCTCTTTGATCGTCCCCTCCACCGGTGCGATGTTTGGATGGCTTGCTTTTATCATAGAAAATGGTCTTCGTCGTCGGCAAAATAAAATACATTTTTGGGTCCTCCATAATGCAGAGCTTTCGAGGACCAATCATGATGTAGAGCGGCGTTCGTTGGGAGTGGGAAAACCGTGGCTTCTTAGAGTTTTGGCTTCTCCCCGAGTGACTCTGAGCATCGAATTTCAGCCTGGAGGCCCGCGACAGAGGGAGGCTTTCGCCGGACATACAAAATACGAGGGAGAGACATCATCAGCGAAACTCTGCTGCTCCAGACGCAGTTATCTAGCTTGACCACCTGAATGTAAGATTGTAGTCATTGTCTCTGCATCTACATCAGCCGTACGAAAGTATAAGAAGCTGAGCGACACGCTTTGAGACCCCGAAGACGAACCGGGAAGGCCCAGGCCAGGGGCCAACTCGGGACGAATCGCCGTGAGACGATCCTTCGCTGGGCTCCGAGCTCCATGCAAAACACCGACAAATTAAACGATAAGCTAGATTTATTTTACTAGGTAAGGCCCACTGAGCGATATAGCTCGTTATCATAAGTGACAAACGAAGTGGCTTATCATATGGAAATTTATAGCAGCCAAATACTCTAAAACGCATGTTCATTCTAAATGTTGAGGGAAAAACCGGAGGACCTGGAGAAAACTACACGTGGCCACCGGGAGAACGTGCAAACTCCAAATATACAGGGCATCATCAGGGCCGGGATTGAACCCACGACCTCCTGTATACCAGGCGAGATGGTTAACATCTCGCCACCGTGGCTCCAATTAATTGGGGCTTCTGTAAAATCCGACGCCGCCCGTCGTCGCAGGGTCAGGGCGAGCGCCGTTGTCCGCGTCCTTCTCGCGCGCGCTCGTCGCAAATCATCAGTGCCGCCATCACAGCGAGGTCAATATTGACCTCCTCCGAAAGTAAATACCGGCTTGATTGAAGCGTGAGCCCGAACTCTCGATTGAGCCTTGAGCCCGTTCACAAACAATCAGGAACCCGGATGTGGGCCATGCGGTGGGGGGTGTGAGGGGGTGGGAGGGGGAAGTTCTCTGGGGGCAAACTCATTCTTGGCGGCGTGAGCGAGCACCCCTCCATTTGATGACCGGAATTTGGTCGAGATGTCGTATACACAGCGGGCGAGTAATCGGTTCCAAGGCCAGGCCAAGCGTGGAGGAACACAAATTTGGAAGATTTCGGTCAAATAATTCATTGGGCTGAGGGTGGGGAAATAAGGCCGGACAAATAGCTGTTGTTGTTTGTCAATTTAAAATATATTTCGTCGTGAAAGCTCGACATTGCGTTCCGATGTCGAATTTGTCTTTTGAGCGTGCCTGTCAACGCGAGAGGCTTGGGGTAGATTGCAGCCACTCGCAGGAACGCCGGCGGTGAGAGACGGAGGAGGTGAACCTGTCGCCAGCGACTCATAAACATCGCTTCAACAGCTCTTCATCCTCGTGCCTGCGTATCTTACCCGACCAGCCGGTTCCTTCCACGCGTTCGCCCATTTGCCGTTCGTCCATCAGTCCATTAATTCATAGACGCGCTGATTTAAATTGCGTTGGTTACGCCGTGTTAGCCGCTGTCCCCGCAGCACTCGCGGGCGCTGGCTTGAGCGCGGCGCTCGCACAAGCTGCTGATAACAACCCGTGGTGGCGGCGGCATTGTTCCGCGCAGGGCCAGATAGTATGCACCGTGCTGCTGAGAGCGAGACAGGAGGGAGGACTATGTGGGTTTGGAGAACGTACGCAACTAAGAGCCGTCGTGTTGACCGTGAAGCGAAGTGAGCGAATGGACTTGTGGCAGGGTGTGTCCCGAGAAGGGGGACAATGGCTGTGGTCGAGGCTAGCGATGGAGTGGGAGCTAAAGGACGGAACGTGCCCTGTGGAGAACTTGCGTCGTGCGGAGATAGTATTGTTGAGATTTGTATTGTTTCGGAAAGGTTGTTAGTTCTGGTCCAAATTGAAGGTTAACTTATCCCACCACCACCACCGCCATCACCATCACCAGTATCGATGTCGCCATGATTCCAGGGTTGATAAAAAAAAAAATTCGCATAATTCTGGTCATGAGACCTGACCTAGGAACCCAGAGTTGCGTAGCGATGGTTACTATTTTATGTTTTACTAAGTTGTCTAAATAATGTGTCTCCTCTTCACTGCCTGCCTGTCTCTCAGTCTTGTTCTGCCTCGATTGTTCCATTATCTTAGCAGTAACAATTATTTATATAACATGCATAAATCGACAAAGATAAAAATTATTGCTCGCACAATTTAACCCTCATCGTAAACGTAAGGATTGAGAATTTTCGAGCAGTTGTTTGGTAAATAGTCCCTGAGTCAGAGCAGAAAATGGTGCCGATTGATTTATACGGCAAATAAGAGGAAGACCTAACAGAGAATGGCTTGCCGGCCACATAAGAGGTTGGTGTCAGAAAGATGTGGCCACTACTTAAGCATATTGGCACAAGGCAGAGGAAACAAACAAGGACATGTGGAGTAGACATCTACGGGCTATCTGCCCATGAATCGTGGTGGTGGTGGTGATAATGAAATCAGAGTGAAATGTCTAACCCCACTCATTTGAAATGCATGTCACACACTTCACTGCTTTTGGCTTCATGAAGGAATTGGAACCGCCAATGTTGTGCCAACTCTCAAGTGGTACCGAGGAGTGAAATCTGTGGTTCATGGACCATGAGCTAGCGTGTATGATTAGCGAGCAGTAGTAAAGTGAAACGTTGCAAACGTATTGCAGGGCAGAAGCGTGCGCGCCCAACCAACTGCTGTGAAATCAGACGAGTGGCCTGCGCGATTGTAAAT